ATACTGGCTATTTCGCAGAAAAAAGTGTGTACCGGTAAAGTGTTCCGAAAAATTATAATAAAAATATGATAATTCCTAGAAAAATATCTAGGTTAAAAATATAAAGTTTGGAAGAAAAATAATTAGTAGAGCTATTCGAACTAATACCAACGATTTGAGCGAGTGCACTATAAATAGGAAATGCACATAAACCTAGGTCATTTTTTCAGACCTCCTACGTGACCTTCATCGCTGCCATCTTCTCCCTCATGTAAGAACTCGCACCGTTAATTAAGGAAGTTAATTAATTAATTATGAGAAATTAGGAAATAATTCTATAATTGACCCTAATAATTATTATAAGGCTTAAATAATATTGGTAAGTGAGTAATAATATTGAAAGTCGTTAGTCTGACGAAAAGTGCAGATACCGGTTCTGCTACTCGGTATAAATGCGTACCGATGAAGTATCCTGGAAAATTATAATAAATGCATGAATATTCCTAGAAATATTCCTAGAATATTCCTAGGATATAATATTCTAGGAATATTCATGTACTTATTATAATTTCCAGAATACTTCATCGGTACGCATTTATACCGAGTAGCAGAACCGGTATCTGCACTTTTCGTCAGAAAAGCAACTTTCAGCATTATTACTCACTTACTATAATTATTAAAGCCTCATAATAATTATTAGGGTCCATTATGGAATTATTTCCTAATTTCTCTTAATTAATTAATTAACTTCCTTAATTAACGGTGCGTGTTCTTACAACTACCAACCAGCCATCTATGAAGCACCGACACTTCAAAAACCCTGACGTGTCGTGTTCGACACTCCCCGACACTCCAACTCGCATTATAGAAATTCAAAAAAAGGTTCAAATGTTGCGTTGCGTTGAATTTTTAGTTCCAACTATTAGATTTGTTAGATTACGATTACTATTTTATTGAGTTAAAAATAAATATTTGGAATACCTTATGTTTTTTTGCAAAATTGATGAATATTATAAGTTTAGTTTCATTTTTTTGTTAAATTATTGAATATTAAATATAATATACACTACATAAATTAAAAATATTATTTAATATCTAAAACGTGTCCTAACGTGTCGAAATATAACATTTTTTAAAATTAACATGTCAGAGTGTCGTGTCGTATCGTGTTACGTGTCATGTGTCAGTATCGGTGCTACATAGCCATCCATCACCTCAGATCATCTCCACCTTAACCATTGGGCATCACCACTACCTATCACCATCGGCCCCCACAATCGCTACCACCACCACCACTTAAACCAACCACCCCTACCTACCATCATTGCACTAGCTATTATCACAAGCCACCAATCACTAATATTAACAATTAATTTAAAACTTAATTTTTAATTTTATGTGAGTGTATAGTTTTTTATTTTGAAAAATTCAAAAATTATTTTTCTTTTTTAATATAATTTATTTAAATTGAATCTTTTAAAATTTTTAATAATTTAAAATAAGAATTACTGTGTAAATAAATAAAAAATAGTTTAAATATCAATTTTAAAAATTATATGAAATTATGTTAAAAAGAGATATTTTTATCTATTTATATCATATCAGACACACTCAAGCACATGATAATATGAGTTTATCTATTCCATATCGTTTCTTACACTTATTCAATCATCATGTCCTATTTATTTCTATTGTATCCTGTCTAACAAGCGGGACCTTGAAAATAATATTATTTTTATTTAATTACTTCAAAAAATGTACAAATGAAAAATGATATACTTATAAATCAGTGGAATATCGTATAACTTATATTCGATTTCTATTATGATGTGATGATACAAATAATATTTATACATTGTTATTATAATATTTAATTTTTAGATAATGAAGTAAAAAATAATAATTTTCTCAATATTTATTTCTTTAATTATTTATTTATAAATTATTAATATAAAAAAGAGATAAACTATACTATTTGAAAACACTTTAACTTTTTATCATATTATTGCAAAATAAATAAAATTATCAATTTATGGTATTTTGAATATTATTTACCAAAATAATATAATGGTAGTCTTTGGTTAGATCCAGCGTGACCTAAGATGAGAAATCATACTGGCTAATTATTCTAAATTTTACTTAATTTTAAATTGGCATTATATTTATTGAGTCAAATAACAATAAAGACTGTATGATTCTCATTTTTCTGTTATGGTCTTCTGGAATACTTAAAAATTCAAAAATATTATATTTATGGTCAAAAATTAAAATTTAACGATTAATTTTATTTTTTATTTTCCTATTTGTTTAAAAAATACATCTTATAAAAATATTTGTACAACACTTTTAAAAGTTACTTTTGAAAAATTTCCAATTAAAAATTGGAAAATGATAATAAAAACACTTATAAATAAAATGTTACAATGCACTTTAATTATAAATTTTTCAACAGAAACAGATTTTTTTCAGCATTTTGATAATAAATTGTTGTAAAACTAAAATCATCTTGATCCGTTTATTAAAAAAAAGATAAATTTAAAAAAAAATTAATCATTCTCTAAATATATTTCTAAGGGGCAGGTTATATTTACAAACTTTTTGTTTACAAACTCTTACAAACTACACTAAGTACAACCGGTCATACTTTAATCATGCAGTGTACGACCGGTCGTACTTAGTGTAATTTGTAAAAAAAAAATTGTAAATGGATCCTATCCCTATTTCTAATAAAATATGTTATCCACAATTTATCAAAAAAAAGGAAAATGTTATCCACAAACATATTTTTAAAAAGTTATTTACTAAGGTATTATTCAGGGGTAAAATGTTCTCTTTATCATCGGATGAGTGATATGTAACAGACAATATAAAATAACTGTTTAGGTATGAGCTTTCTCTTTTTATATTTTGGCAAGCAGAAAAAAATTAATTATTATTATTCACAATAAATTTAATATTTTTAAATTTTTATGGATTTCGAATGATCATATTAGACATATTATTATATATTATTAATTATTATTTAATTCAATTAATTTAACATTAAGTTTCAATTTAATGTCAAAATAACTTAGTCAATCCACATGTAGTGAGAAGATAATGTTGAGATAGAGAAATTTAAAATAGTCAACAAGATAATGTCATATAGTAGCGGGTCACTACCCACCCGACCCTCACTCACTAATGGAGTCATCGAGTTCAATTGCATAGTAAATAATTTTTATCAAATCATATTTCAAGATTTTAAAAATTTATATTATTTTGTCAAAAAATCAAATACTTTCAATCTATTTTGAATTTGACAGCATTGATCTCTGTCTTAACTAATGATCTCGTGTTTATGTAATTGTGTTGAAAACTTAGCAAGAAGAATTATATCACCTTTTTGATCTTGTCTGACTCAAATATATATTAGTTGTCACCCTTTTACAATCAAATACCAAATGGTTTATATTTTATCTGGGGGGGGGGGGGGGGGGGGGGGGGGGGTGCGCGGGAACGACCATAAAAGAAAAAGATAAAACATCAATTACACCAACATCCACCTCATTCTTCCCGGTTATCTTAACCCACAATGTTATTAGCAACTTTTGATAGACTTCTGAAAAATTCTAAACACCTACCCACCTCCTATTACTATTAAATTCTGTTTTATTTAGCAATATTTCTTGAATTCTTGTTTAAGATTGTTATATGATTTAACATGTAGATTACTTAGGGGTGTCAAAACGGATCGACACGACACGAATTCGACACGACACGAATACATCAACACTAACACGACACGAATTTTTATTCGTGTCAAAATCTTCAACACTGACACGACCCGAATTTTTTGCGGGTTGACACGACACGACACGAATAACACGCAAAATAGGAGTCAAAATGGTAATTGACAAAAAAAATTTAAAAAAATGGATCGATATTAAAAAAAATTAAAAAAATAATAATAAAAAATTAAAAATAAAATAATTTAAAAAAAATACGGGTCGACACGAACACGAATACATCAACACTAACACGATACGAATTTTTTACGTGTCATTTTTCCCAACACGAACACGACACGAATTTTTTTGCGGGTCAACCCGAATACGAATTTTCGTGTCGTGTCGCGGGTCGACCCGCGTGTCAAAACCTATATTGACACCCCTAAGATTACTTGAAGAATCCTAATTTCAGAAAAATAAAGATTAAATTGTATGTTCATTCATCAATAAAAATGACACATCTGAGAAGAGATCTAATACACAAAGGCTCTAATACATTCTGATGTACAATCTAATACACAAAGGCTTTATTTATAGAGCAAGATAAAGACATATCTGAGTCAGCAAGTTACAAACAGACAAACTAAGTAACAGACTAGAAAATAGAAGAGAACAGTAGTGATCTAATACATACAAAAGTACAGTAACATCAACAAAGCTAAAGCTAAGTGACCTATATCACTAATAGTAAGCCACACAATAGGAGATGTTGAGAGTTCATACCTTAGCGAGATTCAGCTTATAAAAAAATAAGTTGGCACACGCTAGAGCCCCGTCGTATATTATATAATGATTTTCTGTGAATATGCCTCTTTCCCCAAAGTCCAACAATCTGTCGGTATAAATATCCATATCCTTCAAAACAAATCCATAACGTAAAATATATTTGGCAAATGTCCAGCTCATCTACAGATCCTTGATATCCTTTAAACTTAAAAGAGGTGAGGTGTATGCAGGGTCTATGTATTGTGTGGGATCGTGATGCGTGGATGTGGATGCTGCTATGACATGGCTACACGGGAATCTAAAAGCAATGAACTCGCCACACTAACATGTACGATTAGATAACGAAACTAACCATTTCTTACCGCCGCGATGGGTCCTAACATTATACGACTCTTGCACTTCATTTCTTACCGCCGCGTCGTAGGAAGTTACATAATGTGTCGCGGCTTTTCGTTGATTGTCCACATATGCTCGCCACATGACTTTGGCGAAGCGATTACCTCTCCTAATCTCCTCACGGGCTTCTTATCCATGCTCCAAAAAATATGCCACTAGTCTACTGTAAGTAATACGCACAAGTGAGGTAATAGGAAGGTTTCGCACCCTTTTTAGAACTTTATTAACACACTCTGACAGATTTGTTGTCATGTGGCCAAACCTTCTTCCTTGTTCATCGTAAGCGATACTCCACTTTTCTTTCGAGATGCGATTAATCCAAGCAGCTGTTTGCGGGCTTGTTTCTTTAAATTTCTCTAAACCAGCATCAAAGTCCAAGCGCGATGTTATATATCCTACACATAGCACACATTGTAATTATATATTGTATCTTATAGTTATACGTGTACGTTAAAATACATACCTAACTTCTTCAACTGCTTCTTCAACATAATATTCTTGAACTTGTGATTGAAATTACTAACCACGTGGCGAAGGCAATGCACGTGGTATGCCTGTGGTGGAGCCCATCCTAGATCAACATTGTTGACTGCAGACAAGATGCACGGATGCCGATCAGAAATGAGACAGATTTCGTGTTTTTGCGCAACATGTATTCGAATAAGTTCTAAGAACCACGACCAGTTGTCAGTATTCTCCCCAGAAACGATAGCGAATGCAATTGGAAGAATGCAATTGTTGCCATCAACTGCTGTAGCAATCATGAGGGTACCCCGATATTTGCCATATAGGTGGGTACCATCAATAAGGATAATTGGCTTGCAATAATTGAAAGCTTCACAATACTGTTTAAATGTCCAAAACACCATTTTGAACACCTTGTGAGCTGGTCTAGGCATCCATCAATGAAATGGTCACGCAAATCCAGCTTATAGGCGGATCCTGGAGAAAAACACAACATGTAATCCAACCATCTAGGTAGGAACGCATAGGACTCATCCCAGTCACCGAAGACTTTTACAATAGCCTTTGCTTTGCCTTCCATGCCTTCCTATAAGATATATGGAATCCAAGGCTGGTTGCTATCCTTTCTTGGATTAGCCCAATTTTGACACTGGGCTCCTCTCTTATCATTTATGTATGTGGTAAAACAAGAATGTATTAGTAAAGGGTGGACAAAATTTTATAAATTTAATAAATACAATTGTACGCACCTAAGATCAATGAACATATGAGATTTGAGTCCAACTGCTTGTGATCTTGGGTAAGACTCTGACTAACACATGTGTGTTCGTTGTTCCATATGCCTATAACCCATTCATTGCCACCCTTTTTTTGGTATGCCCTCATTCTCCATGGACAACTGGCGTTATGATTTTGACAAACCATTATCAACCTTTTCGTATCACTTTTGTCTACGACTGTTGTGCGATGATTTGCCATACAATATTGTTTGATCGCCATCTATACATCTTGCTTGTGTGTCAAACCCTTGGTCCTTATATAGCTCGTGGCCCATCTTCCAGTTAGGTATTTGTGCTCCATGCATGTCATCCAACTCTTGATCTAGGTATTCCCAATTAACATTCGTGTAATGGCTTATTCCAGACCAAAATGGTACATTATCATTTCCTGCATAATAACATATCGAAAACCTGCATTGTGTAGTTTAATATGATATTAGATAAGCACTAATAAAGCATTAATGGTTACGTACCTGCAACTGGCGGGTCTTGCATTCCGACAATGCCCGGAGATGGAATTGGTTGACCAACTGCAGTAGGCGGACAACAATCAAAATCACCATCGACATCCGTATCCGATGACTCACTGTCCGGAACAAGACCTTCGTCAACCTCTTCCTCGGAACTATCTGTACGCCAAGATGGATCGTACATATCGTGGGCCGGCAAGATTTCATCACAAATTTGTTGAGTTGGTGGTGCAAGCGCGAGTGACGCGTCCTCATCTTCCAGATTGACAACTGGCTCCATGTTTATGTCGATGAAGTCAGTGGATGGTGCAGAAAGTTGACTGCTTGATTGTCCACCGTAGTTGACTTCTGCATACAATTCAATAAATCTTGACTCCCCGTGTTCGGAAGTGCTTGCATCTACTACTAACGCTACATCTTCATCTTCGATAATTTCCACACCAACCCACTGCACGGGGTTACCCGAGGCACATCTAGCAGTCAATCGAGCTAGAGTTTGACTACGTTGTAATCTCAACTTCTTGTATATTATCTTCTTCGGTTCATGAAGATTGCATGTTGAGCTCATGCGAAACATTTTTGCATCACCTTCAAAAACTTACTCGTTCTGTCCCAAATATTTTCTCCCATTATAATAAACATTGGCGATTAAATCATTCGTACCCTCACTCATTGTACAAAAGTAGAAAAAAAACTAACATTCAAAGACAACACAAAAGTAGTAAAGCTGTATATAAAAGGAAGTTTTTCGCACTTGGTGGTGAGGCACCTAAAATGGAAGTTTTTGAATTTATAGTAAGTAATTCGCTATATAGAATAGCAAATTACTGCACATAATTTGCTATGCCCCCTAGCAAATTACAGGGGAGATGACACTTGTATCTGGTTTGTCAAATATGTACCTAATTCGCTATGAGTCATAGCAAATATAGCTACATAATTCGCTACCTGGTACAGCGAATTATGTGGGGTTTTGACACGTGTCCTGACATTGAATAGATAGGAACTTACCCATTTGACACGTAATTCACTGCACTGTGCAGCGAATTATGTGTCCAACAGAATTGTGCCACATCATCATGCATAATTCGCTACACAGTGTAGCGAATTACTGCTGGCTTGACACGTGTCATGTGACTGACTGTACAGCCTGACATCTTGTCCACGTAATTCGCTACACTGTGTAGCGAATTATGTGGTCAATTGAGACGTGCCACATCAGCACACATAATTCGCTACACAGTGTAGCAAATTATGCCGCGTGACAGTTTGATAAATAATTTGATAAACAATGACAAAATGATCATTGTTCCTCATTGTTGTGAAATTTGGATTACGGGCCTGGTTAAAATCCCAAATCATGGGGTTAGCAATCCAACTATTGGTCAAAAAATTGAATAATAAATTTTGGATAAGGAAGTTAATTTTAAAAAATAATATTATATATAAAAATATTTCATTTAGAAAGTATTATACTAAATAATACTTCATGTGAAAAAGTATTAATTATGGGTTTGATATTTGTCATTTTAGAAGAGAGATAGACACAAAAAATGAAAATCATGAGAGAGAGAGAAAGAAAGTATGTGATTTTTTTTAATTTAAATTTTAAATAAAAAAAATTATTTTGTGTCTATTTCTCTCTTAAAATGACATAACTTTATGTCATTTAAAATGACAAACACTTTTCTCATTTATTATATAGGTAACTAATATAATGGTTACATCAATCTAGCATTATTTTCAAAATTGAATTGGTTTAATAATAATATAAATAAATAAAACTGACTTGATAAAAATGTGCTACTTAATGTTATAACGCACTTAATCACAAAAAAAATTCATATCATGTTCTAACCATTCAAAGAACAGGACACTTAAATCTAAAAATTTTCATACCTTCCAGATTTGAAGAGCTTCTAGTTAGCTTTACATGACCACAAATTTCATTTAATTTGGACTACTATAGCTTAAAGTTATCCTCAAAAGCATGCAAACATATCATCCAGTAACCCAAAAACAGCATCTATTTACACAACATCCCAGTTGACAATTCTGTTGAAGTTACATACAGCTCCATGATTTGATATTTGTACAAAATGCACCAAAAACATAGTCTATATTTACCATTCATGTCTCAACTTACATACCACAGCATTAGATTTCATCCAAGAGAAAGAGCATCTTGCATAAACATAATCCTTACTTAAAGGGGGTAGTTTATGTTAACATTGTTAACTCACAGTATTTAAGGAAAATGTTTCATATAAATATTGATAAACCACATAAACTATTGCCTCGTCATATCTTTAGTCAGGACAACCTTGTAACAAATCAAACAATACAAATTACATATGGTAGCAGTTTTCAATGAATATGGCACGGTAAGTTGCACACAGACATAACTTCCAGCAACTGATACACATTAGATACAACCATCTAGCAAACTTTACAACTCTTTTACGTGAAGATTACCAATCATCTACTCCTTTTGTCACACCAAGAATAATGGCAATTGTGGCCAGAACAGCCTGCAAATGCAGTCTCACGAAGTTAGTATTACCTTCTCATGCATTATGGAACAATTTTATACAAGTAATCAAAAAATCTTCAAGCAAGTTAATCCCCAATCTAAATATTCATGGCAAGCTCATCTTAAGACCTGAAACAGGCTTCGAGTGAAAAATGAAAGGATAGAATCACTTACAGCAACTATACAAGCAATATATCCGGGTTTCTCTCGATAGTCTACTCTGGAACAAAGCATAATTATTGCCCCAACATACCATGGAATACCAGCAAGAAAGAAACCTAATATAAACCTTCACAACAGCAAAAAATATTGAAAATCAACATCCCAATATTAACTTTGAAAGAAAGGAAAATAAGAGATATGACTATATGACATTATGACATTTAACCTTGGATAATATAAAAGGAAATAATTTAAATGGTTCAATCATGTTTATAAGATCATACTAAAAAGGAAAAAGGTAGAATGGAAGCATGTATGAACAATCCTATCATGCCCCCATAATAAGGTAAAGACTGAAATGATATACAAGGTTCATGTTAAATCGGCACTATAAAGAAAAACTTCCCCTGCCATGGCAGGATATAATACTTTCTATAGATGTTATTCACCAAGGTAAACAGAAACAATTTCCACAAAAAATTAAATAAAAGACATGTGAATCATTTCATTAGTCTACTTGTTTTGCATTGTGAATACAGTATGTGGGTCAACTTTGATATACAGCGACAATAATAAATGACAAAACATTGCTCATACCTTAAAATGTAAAGAAAAAATTATGAGTGCAACCCAATTATATAGACCGGTCAAAATAAGGCTACAACCATTTTCCTTTAACAAATGGGGGCAGAGGTGGGAAGGGGGTTCTGATAATAATAAAAAGGTGTAGACACCAATAGACACAAACTGCTGAAAATTCAAAGCAGGTTGTGTGGAAGGTGACCATTTCCAAGAACAAATTGGTTGATGTTCGAGAAGGGTCTCATGAAATGGCAAATCATATGCCATTTCCCTCTTCTCCACCTCTCACATTGTAATAAATTTCACAGCCGAGCTCTGTAAATGCAAGCATGATGAGAAAGAGAAAGCTATAATATTCTACTCCGGGGAAGCAAATTTGCTATCATAATATTGTGCTGATTAATTTCTCTTCTCAAAAATTCCTTTAGGAAGACCCACCATCGTAATTCAAAATAAGAAAGCATTTATCATTTCAATATTCTCTTGGTGCAAGTACCCTCATCCTTAAGATCAAAGATAGGGGAAATTAACATTAGAAATCAAAGAGAGTATTTTCCTCATGCACAATAGACAAATCAAAGGGGACGAATCGGAGCAGTGGTAAAATTGTTCCTTCATGAGTGAAAGGTCATGGACTCATGGGTTCGAATCCAGGAAACAGCCTCTTTGCAATTATGCAAGGGTAAGGCTGCATATAAGGATTTCTTCCACCCCACACTTGCTAGTCGGGTTTAACGGGGAGTGATTTTTTTTTTTTTTTACAATAGACAAATTTGATTTAAATTTTCCCCAAAAAATAAAATGAATTTTCATCAATGAAAAATTAAGATAACTTGAAGCAATTATCCACAAACAGAAATTTGTGAAGTTATTTGCCACTACACATGAAATTTACTTACAAGCACCAACCGCAACCAATACCACAGCAACCAAGGCGGCGTTCTCTTACAGGTCGTCCTTCAGCAACTGCATAACCTGAACCAATATCAAAGAGGAAACTGTATCAAAATCTAGCAGGCAGGAAAATGAAGTTTGCTACACTACCTATATATCATCATGAAGCTCTCATCCATCAGATTCTCAAATATAAACACCAACTGTTCATAATTTCCTTCTAATATTACCAGCTTCTCCTTTACCACATGAGTGGGCTGTATGATTTCTTATCAATTCATTTTAATGCAACAACACGGATTACATGACATCTGAACCCAAGTGTTAACATCATGACCAGCTTCTCCTTTACCACACGATTGGCTGCATGATTTCTTATTAATTCATTTTAATGCAACAACATGGATTACATGAGATCTGAACCCATGTGCTAACATCATGACCCTTGAGCAAAACAGCATATACAAGTTGCAATGAGACTGGTAATATTATCAGATAAAGTAGATCTAGATCCCATCAACCTGCCAAATCATCCTGCAACTTAAGCGTGCCACTTCGATCATAGGCAACAAATGGAGAGTTAAAGATCATGATGGCAAGGTATAATAATCAATGATAAACTTTGAATCACCAGCCACCAATTTCATAGTATTCCAGAACATCAAACAGTGAACAACATATTCGTGATCATTCCGATCACCACATTCAGAACAATTTTCAACCTTCAACAATCAACTATATTGAGAAAAGATAAGTATACCAAATACTAAATAACAAAAATTAAGTCAACCCAAGTTTATAAATTTCTCCCTTAAACCCAATATTTCACACGGGGACAGTTGACCCACCATTATTTTGCAGCTAAATTTACACAAGTTGATAACAATCAGACAGAAAATCCAAAGGCAGAAGAAGCAGTGCAAGCAGAATTGAATAAAACAAAAACCATCTCGAAAATTCCAATCTTTGATCCGACCCATCACACAAATCATTCAATATATCATTCTAGAAATGAAATTTTGCAATGGAATCACCAACTTCTCATTTCCAAGCTCAAATCAAATCCAAAAAAAAAAAATACCAAATAAGTCAAAAAAAAGGGGGGGCAGAGCCATACCGGGAACTGCTTGGTACCCGTGAGGGTAATACGGCGGAGGAGGGGCGGAGGGATCGGCAACGCCAGGTGGCGGGACTGGGTGAGGGAAACCGATGGCGGGGTGTGGGTCCGGCGGAGGAGGAGGGTAGTTGGAGACACCTTGGAAGGTGCCATACTGAGGAGGTGGATATGGTTGAGGCTGCGGCGGAGGATGGTGGTGGTGATGCTCGCCGGCGACGGCTCTGGGTTTGTCTTCTTCGGTCATCTTCTCTTCTCTTTACTTCTCAGAGACTTTGACTTGGGAATGGAATGGTGGATCGTATCGTGTGAGTGAAAAAGCTACAACAAATCTAATGTACCAATGTGATATTGAAGAAATTTATTATTATTATTATTACTAGAAAGAATTTTTTGTGATTTTAAATGATTATGTTATTTTAAGAAATAGATAGACATAGAATAAATTTTTTATTTAAATTTTAAATTAAAAAAACCTATCACTTTTTCTCTTTTATGATTTTCATTTTTTGTGTTTATCTCTCTCTTAAAATGACATAATTTATGTCATTTAAAATGACAAACACTAGCCTTCTTCTTCTTATTATTATTATTATGTGGACCCGACGAATTGTGTGCAGTGGTATAAAAATCAAAATGATATCAATCGGTGTCATTTAGATATTGAATCGGTCGTGTATTTGATTTGATATGAAATTGATGAATCGCTTTAACCAGTTTGATAACACTGATCATGTGAATTTTAGGGTAAAGTTTATGTTTTTAATGTTTCTAAATAGTAGTTAAGAATAGGGGACTCAGATTAGATACATGAACGTGAATATTTCAAAGAGTAATGTCCTCTCTAGTGTTACAAAAGTTAGTGAAAATTTTATGTTTATATCTCTTTCTATATGGATATTAATTAGATAAAAATTTATTAAATTCACGAATATTTATAAGCAACGGTATAAACACAAAGTTTTGATATAATAAAATGGAGAGGTTATATTTATTACTTTTTTTATTAATTTTTATTATCAAATCTTAATCATTAATTTTTGTCAATTATAATTTATTTGGCCACATTTATTAATTGATTATTATTTTTAATAAATTATAATCGTTAGATTGACGAAAATCAACGGTTAAAATTTAATAATAAAAGATAATAAAAAAACATAATAAGTATAGTATTTCTCTAAAAAAATTAGAATAATAATATGCATGGCAAATTCACAATGGCTAAATAAGGAAATTAAATATATTTTTCTTAATTATAAAATTCCCTCTCTTAAAGGATTTGTATGCCCAAAATAATAACTAGAGAAGTTGAGATTTCAAAAGGTATATTTATGAGATTCTTTTATTTATAAAGAGATTTTAAGTGGGTAGGTTGATTTCATATAATTAAAAAGGGTCACTACATGGTGCACTATTTACCTTATCCTTAAGATTTTGTTATTTTTTGCATGAAGAGATGGTAACAAACTTGTGAAATTGCTACTTGGTGCTCTTTCATCCAAATTCTGTGTGGATTACCATAAAATATATTCGTAACCTGGGCTTCTTCGACACGTTTACTCGAGTAATGAATATGATGTCATATATCATAAATAATATCCTCCACATGTTGAGCAAACACGTTTAAGGCTTCTTCTTTTTTTCACAAAACATAAATAATATCCTCATCATTTATTTATTTATTTCTCTTCTTCTAATTTCTCTATCATAAACAATACTTCACGTGCGTTTTTGAGGTCTCTTCACATATATATCTACACACAAGGGGCAAAAAAATTTAATTATTGTATTTAATTAAATAATTACGCATTTATTACAGTTTGGGAAATAATTACGAATTTATTGCACACTGCGACGCTACTTTTGAACATCACATGTGACGCCCCAGTGGGGCGTCTCACCCTAAGGGAAGACACTCCAATGGGACGTCACATGTGACGCCCAAAAATAGCGTCTCATATGTGCTCTATAAATCCCCAAATGTTATCATTTCACTCCTCACTCTTTCACCTCTCTCTAACCATGGTTCATAGCGGAGCTCTGGCAACATTAGGTAAGTTCGTAATACCTGCTATCTATACGTTTAAATTACAGTGCTAGTTCGTAATACATGTTAGGATTGATCGTATATTAGAGACTTAGAACATTAGGATAATCACTTATAAATTTTGTTCCATGCTATGAATGTTGTAAAGATATAATAATTTCTTTGTTACGTAGTTATTATTATTAATATTTAATTATGCATTAAGGTTGAGCGTATTAATTAGTGATTTAGAAAATAGTGATAACCTCTTCGTAAATTTTGTATGTATGATGTTATTAATGCAGGAGTGTATTCATAATTTTGTAGTCAGTTAGGTGTGATGATTAGTACATATTTATGAAGTTATTAGTGACCTAGGGTTAAGTATTCTGTAAGTATTATATTGTTTTTGTCCAATGTTTTATTATTATTTAATTACAAATAAATGACTGTACTACGTTATAACATTATTTCATTAATTTCGATTCTAGTAAAATAAATGATTGTATGCTTAATTTTTGTGATTATAAATTATGACATTGCTTAATTAATTTGTAAATAAAATGGGACATTACATGTGACTAATTTCAATGTTGTTTTATATGATATAGTTTAGGGTAATGGCTGATTCATCATCTTCTTCGGGTTGTGCATTGGATGTAGAGCCTACCGATCCCAGTATGTACATCATACCTGGGCCTTACAGATGGGACGTCGTTCGTAAGAGGACGCAACGTGCCCATATTTCATAGCGAGTGTGGAATACAGAGCATGTCAGGAAAGTAAAAACCAGGCGTGGGAAGCCACATAGGGGGGCCACCTACCGGCGCTATTCCAGAGGTTGTCGCAGACTACCTCACATAGGCTGGATTTATACATGTTGCCCAGATGCGACATATCCAGGTATGCAATTTACATTGTTTTGTATTTATGTAATTATTCAATATCATTCGTTAACACGTGATAATGTATTTATCACATTGCCATAACCTTATCGTGATGTGAGTGATACATTGGTTGCCTTGAAGACTTAACTTCTGCCGAATTCTCTGATGTAGTTCGCCAATGGTTGCGTTGTGTTAGATACGTGTCGGCCTTTTTTCACCTTCAAACATGACACATCGTCGACCTTCTACCTTCCTACCATTGTAATATAACCTAACACGAACAAAATCAAGACGTGAACTCATTCTTAAATAGAATAAAAAATAAAATTCAAATACTAAATTAAAGAGAAGAGATATGAAGAGTGAGAGAAGAGGTGTGAAGAGTGAATAGAGGGGTGGAAAATTATATAGGGTGCACAATGTGACGCCCAAAAATAGCGTCACATTGTGCAATACATTTGTATTTTTTTACAAAACTGTCATAAATACGTAATTATTTAATTAAAATGCAATAAATAATTTTTTTTGCCATACACAAAGTTTAAACCCGAGCACTCAAAACATGGAATACTGCTCCTACAAATCAATTTAACCATTTCATTTGAATTAATCAATTTTGGTTTGATAAGTTCATATCACAACTCTCAGTCGTAATATGGAAAGTCAACATTTTACCCCTTTTAAAAATAATATGCTATGATCTGGACAACTATGTTTATGTGTTTATAAAAGAAAATGCAATAGATGCTTTTTACTTTACTATGCACAATGCTTTCACATGTCTTCTGGTTCAATTTCAATAATAAAGACTAAATAAACATTCAAGAAACTCAAGAGTCGGTCCTAAAGGGTCTTCTTTGCAAGTGCTTTTCTAACAAGGATTGTTGCTATTCACCTTTAACAGGTTCTCTTGTCTTTCTTTTTTATTGCAATTTATTCAATAAATTTATCTTAATCTTTTATATAAGACATAGTTTTGCATACATTTGAAGAATTTGATTATAATTAAGTGTTTCAGGTCTATTTTTGTGTTACGATAAATTTGAACTTTTTAGCTATAATATTCTTAGATCATTTTCATACTTTAATTTACGAATTTATAAGTCTTTTAAATATTTTGAAATATGGTATGTGATATTCTTTTTCATATGATTGTGTTGTTGGTCTTTATAGTAAAAAAATATATTGTCGTGATTACCAAAAAAAAAAAAAATATATATATATATATATATAGTCATATATCATGAGTTAATTTTAAATAAAACTTAGGGGAATATGTTTTTCATGCATGAGACCATATTATCTCATGTATAAGACCACATTATCTCATGTAACACACAAAGAAATGGATAAGATCCATTAAAAAAAGAGAAAATAAAATAAAATTGATTCCATCCAATTTTTATATGTGCATGAAACAAAATTGTTTCATGTAATATGATAAATATATTTTACTAAAACTTATATCTATTATTTTTGTACTAAAATTGTAAGTACAGCTGTTAATTGGATTATTTGAATTATGATAAAAAGAAGAGGAAATCACTCTTTGCACTATTGGTTAGTATTTTACTATTTTTACAATTTAAATATCATAAAAAAAAAATTGCAATTACTGCAGATAAGTTATATGTATTTACTCTCAAAATGACGTCATTTTGGGATTGAGAGATTAAAAAATTATAATTATAAAGACTATAATAACCTTGAAATAAATTAAAATTATAAAAAGACCATGATTTTCGCCCTAAAACGACATTGTATTGAATTTACTGTAGATAACTTATCTGCAGGGACTGCAGAAAAAAATGAACCCATTAAATACATAATAAATAATTTTAAAAAGTAAATTAACCTTTTATTATCAAGTTCAAGATTCGAAAACAAATATGCAGATATATAGGTGGTGGTGGGGCGGGTAAGAAGCCCCAACAAATAGGAAGAGTGACTATTTTGTCACACTTGACAAAAAAATTTATCAGACTGTCACGTCAACAGTAAATTTTGTCAAAATATCACGCTGCACCCTTAGCCGTCGTTAAAGAAGTCTGAAAATAATTAAGAGTTAAGATAAGATAATGCGAATTAGTTATATTTTCAGACTTCTTCAACGACGGCTAAGGGTGTAGCGTGGCATTTTGGCAAAATTTACTGTTGGCGTGGTAGTATGGTAAATATTTTTGCCAAGTGCAACAAAATAGTCACTCTTCCCAACAAATAAGTAACGAAAAACAAAATTTCAATGTACTAATTTTTTTTGCAATAGTTGTACTTCAAATAATATTAAAAGATTTTCACGTACACATTATTATTTATGGGAAAAGACTTCTTACGTTGTATAAGAAGTCTCCTTTTCTATCACTCTCACTTTGATATTCGTGTCAATTACTTTTTTATTTTTTATTTTTTTCTTTAAGATAGACTCACCTCTTTTTCTCTCGATAGAAAAACTTAAATTTTTTATACAACATGAGAAATTGTAAGCCCATTATTTATTGTTTTTAAATTAATTAATGAAAAAATAAAAAGATAATTAATGATATTATATATGTGTAAATATAAACTCGTTTTTAATATTAACTATACATACCAGTTAAACTTAGGTTTTTTTTTTTAATGTTGTTTGAACTGAGAGTTAAAATTCAAATTTCGTTACTTACACATACTCTTGTGTTTTTTTGTTTTTTTGGTACAAACACATACTCTTCTTTAACAACTGTCATCTTGTTCATTTATTTCAATCTGTCTCTCTCTCTCTGTCTCTCTCTCTCTCTCTCTCTCAATACAGCATGATTTTCTTTTTTTCTTTTTTTTTTGAAACTGATCTTAATTACTTTTTTGATGCGAATTAGAACTCTCGGTATCCCTACGGATTCGACTCTTTGAGCCACCTATAAGACTAATTCAGAGTTCGGGTGCGAGTTCAAGGATTACGTACTTATATCCCTTCCCAGCATGATTTTCTTTGACCCATAAGATAAGAAAGAAGAATTACACGAAGGAAAAGTAGAATTATCTATTATTTAATTCTGACAAGTTATCACTGTTTAATAAAAGGGGAATATTAATCTTTTATTATAGAAGATTAATATCTCATGTCATAAATATAAAGTATATGGAATTCATTCATTTATTTATTTATTTTAAAAGAGTAAATTTCAAATATTTTGTGTCTATAATATAAAATATTAATTTTTTATAACATAAAACTAATCTTTTCCTTAATAAAATTCACTTTTCCTTTTTCATGATAGTTTTATAAATATTGTGAAATTCAGAAAGATAGCTATGAAAGTTGCAGTTGCAGAATCATATCGCTTTCACACGCATTCATGATTACCGACAAATACGACGATATTTCAATTTCTTAAGCCACAATTATGCAAATCATGATAATGAAAGGATAATGATTCTCTTATCCTTGGGGTAAAAAGTAAGTAATGCATTTTCACTTTAAAATTTGAATTATAATCTTGTGAATAGTGACTTAAAATTATCTCATGCAATAGAGATAAGATACTGGAATCCACTACTTTTTCGAAAAAAGTAAAAAAAGAAAAAATAATGGACTCCACTATTTTGTCTCTATTGCATGAGATAATTATCTCATGCAACATGAGATAATTATTTTCCATAATTAAAATATAAAAACTTTTTGTGCAACAACAACGTTGATTTGGATTCTTATAAGATTATTTTATTTATTTATTTTTTCATTAATTCATTAATTATTTGATTAATCTAATTCGAGTTGGATAAAATTTTAAAAGAAAATAAAATTTTCCTTATTAAGTTTTTAACACAACCACATATTTAGAACTCAAACTCCAATTAAGTTAAAACAATCTCATATCAAATAAAACAGCAGAAACATTAAACTCTTAAAAAATGAAAAAATAATATTGAAAATATCATTACTCAATTGTAAATTCATTATCACAAACAAGAGATGATAGACAACTATCCAGCGGACAGTTTTAATTTGTTCATAAGTTTAACAAGGGGTTGGTGCTGATGTACAGTACTACTATTGTTAGTTTTCCCATTTTTCCTATTTGACAATTTCACAAGCTTCAGCTTCAGCTTTCTCCAACTATCAATTTCAATTGTATCAGTATAACACTACTAAGAGCTCATTTGTTTGCACTTTTAAAAAAAGTAACTTTTATCTCTTCCTTATTTTAAAAGTTATTTTTACAAAAGTTAAAGCTATTTATATTTTTATAAAAATATTTAGATTTTGAAAAAAATATTTGACTTTTGACTTCTGCTTTTTTTAGAAGTTAAAATTTTTAGCTTCAGAAAAAAGTAAGTTTTTGACTTTTTTTGTGACTTCTGCATTTTTTAAAAGCAGACATCCAAACGAACTAAAAATGAAAAGTGTTTTTTTTCAAAAAAAAAAAAAAGTAACTTCTGGAGAGAGAAAAAAGTCCATCCAAACGAGCCCTAAGTAGTTAAGGATAAAGTGAATAAGATTTGACGATAACATTACTTATTAAAAAATTCATTGCAACCATTTCATAATACTACTATATCAGATAAATCTACTTGAACTGTAGTCTCTTCCTTGGTTAATCTTATGCTTCGGAATTTGCTTACAATGTTTTACAGCATATGATGCAGTTTTGGATGATCATGGATTTGTGCAATGAACAAATTAGACAGGTGTGAAAGTAGTTAAAGAAAGCCTTAAATGCTAGGACAAACCCATTTAATCGAGTGGGTGGGCTAAAAGTTTCTGTTGAGTGGCATGGCCATGAGTTAGCCCTAACCTACAAAGCCGTGTGAGCTTTTGTTTTGTGGACATTTTGGCACTAACCCATGTGAGCTAGGACTGAGTGAAATGGGATGACCCATAATAACAACTATACTTATTTCTGTGTCCTACTCTTGCAGTCTTACTGGTTAATTCTGAAAATTAAGTCTTGAACTTATAAGAAGCTTTAGCATCAATAATCAAATAGAAAAGAACATAAAGCATAATAATGGGCCGCAAATAATTACTTAGTTAGTTAAGGAATTATTCTAAAATATTCTAAAAGAATAAGATAAAAAGGAGGGGAGTGTATATACTGAGTAATGCATGTATTCGGTGAATTTGGAGTGGGGTTTTGGGAAATGATCTCTTTGGGGCTTAGGTATGTTGATCTTGGAGAGTGAGTAAGATCTTTTGGTTTATCTTTTCTGCATTTAATCTTGAATTAGTGTTTGTAATATCTTGATTTAGTAAATTCATTGTTATAATTTTTCTGAGTTCCATCGCATAATAACTGGAATCTAATTACAGATTATGTTGCGGCCCACAATCATCATTTTATTTGTTTACAACTAGCATATTTCTCTTCAACTCAAAGGGCAGTCAACACTTTTTTTTTTCTTTACTTGCAAGGTCTTCGTGGTGAATAACATCACTATGTTCTCAGATAAGGCCTATAAAAGTTCAGCTTGCTTTGGATTGGACTCCACAAACAATATTAGCTGGGACAGCTATGTCGATCAGTTTTGGATATGACAGGTTAAGATCTGTTGCACAAACCGAATGTACCATTAGCAGTTGTCTTTCCCAGAACTTGATTGCAAATATGGATGAGTGTAAAAATAAATAAATTTGACTAAGCTTTTATAAAATTAAGCTAGCACTTACTTGCCATGATGTTCTTGAAAGTTTCCTGAAAAAGAGGTACCAAAATTTTCAATTGTAAGATACTTCATGAGTTGGGGCTAACCAACAGTAGAATACAAATGGAATTTCCACATGTTCAAACTTTTTTTTAGTTAGTTGTTATAAATCCAAATTCTCTCATCACAATTAAAAGGTCTACTTTTATAGAACATCCAGAAATAAAAGAAAAGGATAAAATGCCTCCTTCACATTCCATGAACATATTTGACCAAATAGCATCTCCTAGCAGATAGCTGAATGAATGAAAGACAAACACCTAATACTAAGCATGTTTCCCTCTTAACAATGCTGAGAAATTGTCATTTAGGGTCGAGACCACCTGCATGTATACTAAATATAGACTTGCTATCAATAGGACCAAGTTCTATCTACCAATCCAGAACTAATCTAATGTTCTTTCTTTTATATTTGTCAAGAGCTTTGTTCCCCGTGAAGTATTCTACTTTAAGCATTCTAAATCACAATCACATGTATAATCTCACATTATGGTCTCTGAAAATGTCTTTTCTCATAACCACCATAAGTTTCATTTCATGGATTTAGGTCATAAAATATGGATATCATCAAAGATTACCTCATCCTTCGTTAAGCGTGGATTGTATTGCAGCTCCTCCCCAACAGTGCTTACCTAAAATCAGTAATTTGTATAAGCAACTCTCTTAACATATTTAGCAAGCAAAAAGCTTTAGGGTCTCCTTACTGTGAATCCTTTGTAGTCATGAGCTGGATAGATTAATGTATCCTTGGGCAGTGTAAAAATCTGTTTCCAAATAAGATGCGAGTTAGTAATTAATTATTAATCCCCAAATTTAAAAAAACCAGAAATATCTTATCTATTTTAGTTCATTGTCTACTTCTCTAAGTTTCTGTTTTAACATAATGCACAATCACTGTCAAGTTCATGCCTGTGAATGGATTGATTTGTAAAGCTGCTCTGAACTCCCACCCTGTATAATAATTAGTGAGAATTCGATACCAATTAATAATTTTGAGATGATATTAGAACATATCCACTAAGACCAAAACTTAGCCCCATATTATTCAATAAAATTGAGGCAGCATAACCTTTTGTTTAAGTACAACTTTGAATACCCTGTGAAGCAAGTAATTATAAAAGAAAAGAAAAGGAAAAGAGTATATACCTGAAAGTCTGTCCTCCCACATCCACGTATTAATATAGCATCTCCTGTGAATGCCATCCTAGGTTGAGGTTGATCAGGTGTATCTCCTGTAACATAGGTAATGCAACCCAAGGTATGACCAGGAGTCGCACGAACCTAAAGAGGTAAAGACAATAATATATATTACAGAGTAGAGATGAACAACAAACCATTACATGAGCCATCCACACCCATGCACAAGAGAAAATAAGAAGCACTTGACAAATAAATAAAAAGGCAAAAGAGGGACCCTGAAAAAGGGAGTACTGATTCTTTGCCTGGATCATTCTTTTTAATATCCCAAGAATATGAGAAGTCAGTGTCATTAAAAAAATATATATCTACATTTCATCTATAGTAAAAATAAGGTGAAGTCATCCTTGATTGGCCTCTTTCATTTCTCTGCACAAGATTTCAGCCATAACAAGCCAGCTTTTAACACTATCACTATATTGTTTAAGATTAAGCTGCAACTAAAGACATATATTTAATCTATCAACGTGCTTGACTAATCAGAGTTCTTATTATCTAGAAATATGGTAGTCATATCTTAAATGATGTTGTAATACTAGAAGCTGCATCTAATTATATGTTATTATTGTCTTCCTATTTAGATTTTTCTAGACCCATCATTAAAATTTATCAAATACTATCAAGAAATGGACAGTCCAAGCCGCATGTATAGAACCACTCATTCCCTTATCTAAAACTTAATGAAATGTAAGGTATCTTTGATAATCGCCGTCATTAGGAAAGAACTCAGGTTGATATGCAGCAACATCAAAATAGGCATGCTGCTGCAGACTTACCTCTAGAAAAAGATCACCAAAACGGACTTTATCGCCTGGCTCCACATAAAGATCTGCTGTTGCACCACTTGCTTTTGAAATAACAGACTTTACATCAGGAACTTTGCTCTATACGAAGTAAGTGGATAACAAAAACACACAAAGTTACTAGCACAGCAACGTAATTACAATTATTAGTGAAAAGACTTATTTGAAATGAGCAAGTAAGGGGTAACTACTCTTGAATCATTAAGTAGATTAAGATTGCAATATACTTTAAATTAAATTAAGTTGTATACACCATTTCTTGCTCACTGAAACATTTTCACGAATATTTACAAGTTAAAGGAACAATAGCAGCTGTAAGGATAAAAAAAAGGGGGGGAAGAACAAATTCAGCAGCTGCACACCTTGATGAGGCCAGTCCCAGTGACATGATCTGCATGTACATGTGTGTTCATGGCATACACAAGCTTCAACCCCAGTTCTTGAATTAGAGATAAGTCTCTATCGACTGTCTTATCCACAGGGTCAATCAACTGAATTTTGTTATAAAATTTACCATCAATAACCAAAACAGAAAAAACTCATCATCCAATCCAACAATTGCTTCCCACCCACATCAAAATTTCCCACAAATATTCAAACACAAGCATCAAAATTAGATTTTTATATTCAACCAACTTTCTGTACAACATGTAAGTTTCAGAGATTTTCAGTGATAATCCAATTGGAAAACAACAAGTGTGGAAAAACTCACGAGTGCTGGTTTGTCAGGGTGTGAAGCATCAGCAAGAAGGTATGTGTAGGTGGAAGATTCCATCTCGAAAAGCTGGCGGAACAAGAGCTTGGAAGAGGAAGAGGAAGAAGAAGAAGTGGAGTAAGAACCCATTTGTGATCTGAGCCTGGTGGGGTTGGGAATTGCTGTGGAAATGGAAATGGAAATTGGGGTGAGAGGAAAATGTGAGGCTTTGGAAGCAAAGAGAGAGACTCTGGTGAAGTGGAATCGCATCATTTTTGGTAGCATAAATAATAACAAAGGTTGAGAATGGAAATTGGCGATGGAAGATATGGTTGACGTTGATGTTGTTGGGTTGTCAATATAATAAATAATAAAGGACGATGATCTCAATCAAGTGGGTATGGCCTCAGCGAAGGTCGCCAATGGAAGGGAGACACAGGAAAATGGTGGCATTATGTTTGAGTCGAGGATGTCACGTTTGTTTGGTCATACTTTTTTGTTATTTCACTTTTTTCTGACATCGATGTCAAATAATCTTCTGCATATGGAAAAAAATATTTGTCACTTACAAAAGAACAATCATTTTAGTTAAACTATTATCTTTTATTTAATATTTAAATTAAAAAAACCTTTTATTTTCTTTCACAAGATTTATGTTTTTCTTATTATAAAACACATTAATTTTAACTAAAATGACATAATTTTATATCGTTTAAAAGAAAAAAAATTAATCCCTATATATACAGTAGATAACTTATCTATATTGAGCCAAAGACGACGTCTTTTTGAGACAAAAATTAAGGTACTTTTGTAATTATAATTTATTTCAGTGTTATAATAGTCTTTTTCATTATAATTTTTTAATTTTTCAATCCAAAACGACATCATTTTGGGAGCAAATGTAGATAACTTATCTACATTCACTGTAGAAACATTAAACTAAAGCCATATATATATGGGCTTATCGTTTCTCAAGCTGCTTGAGACAATGTTATCTCCGCCTACTAAATCATAATCGTACAAAGATGAATCAATTAATATAAGGAAATAAATAATCAAAACGACGTAGTTTTAGGTGGCCGGAGATAAACTTATCTCAAGCAGCTTGAGAAATATTTTTCCCTATATATATATATGGAAAGAATATTTTTGCACAGATAAATTATCTGGATTTTTCTCAAAACAACGTCGTTTTGGTATTGAAATCTTAAAAAATTATAAATATAAAGACTATTATAACCCTGAAATAAATTAAAATTATAAAAATACCGTAATTTTCGCCCCAAAACGATGTCGTATTGGGCTTACTGCATATAACTTATCTGCAGTAACTGCAGAAAAAGCGAACCCTATATATATATATATGTGTGTGTGTGTGTGTGTGGAATAGGATATTTTTTGTGTCTACTCCTATTCAATGTAGTTAGATTTTGTGTCTAGTCCTATTCAATGTAGTTAGATCAGAATCTTAATCTCAATTGACTTTCAACTCTTCTCTCTCCTCTTTAGATTTGATCTTAATGCTATTGGGGCATAGGTGTGTATATAGACTGGACTAGGTTTTAGCTTAAATAGCCTAGGCCTATATAAAATATTGTAGGTCTTACTTGACCTGCTAGTCTTGCGTAGGCCTAAATTATAAGTCTGCCCTAACTTATATTTAAAAAACAAAAGCCTAGGCTAGGCCTTTTAGCTTATTTAAGCCTATTAAACATTCAATAATTAAAATAGTATTATTTTATTATTAAAAATTATTAAAATAATAATTTTATTTATTTTATTTAAAATAAACAATATAATATAGGCCGGCCTGTAAGTTTATAGGTCCGACATGTAAAAAAGAATCTACGGCCTACTTTTAAATAGATTTTTTAAAAGTCTAAACTTGTTCTATTTGACTATATGTAATTGGCCAAATCTGACATATTATAGGTGAGGCTTGTAGGTCGGCCTAACCCATTTATACCCCTATCAGAGATGGGTATGTAGAGTAGATATGAAAAATGATAGACATAATATCCCCTCCAATAATATATATAAATAAAGAGGAAGAGGGAGAGGAGAAAAGACATGTGAAGAAAAATAATATAGTTAATTATATTTATTTTATTTATTCTTTTATTGTTTATGAGTTCAATATTTTTTTAATATGAAATAAAAGTACAAAAAAATATTTCTGCAGTTACTCCTAAAACGATGTCATTTTGGTATTGAAATATTAAAAAATTATAATTATAAAGACTATAATAACCCTGAAATAAATTAAGATTATAAAAATATCTTGATTTCCACCCAAAACGACGTCGTATTAAGCTTACTGCAGATAACTTATCTACAGTAACTGCAGAAAAAATGAGCCATAAAAATATTATTATTTTACCCAAAACGATATTATTTTAAGATTTATTTTAAGATTTGAAAGAAAAATTATAATATTTTTAAGAGAAGGAAATGCCGTTTTGGTTAACAGAAAAATATTTCTACAGTTAATGCAGATAAATTATCTGCATTTACTTCCAAAACGACGTCGTTTTGGGATTGAAAGATTATAAAATTATAATTATAAATATTATAATAATCCTGAAATAAATTAAAATTACAAAAATACTATGATATTCATCCCAAAACGGCATCGGATTGAGCTTACTGCGGATAACTTATCGGCAGTAACTGCAGAAAAAACAAATCCTTGAGTTAATATATCTTAATCTAATTTTATTTTATTTTTTAGTAAAGAACTACTTAGTCGGCAAATACTCAAGAAGAAGCATACGTTGTTTTGATTATTTCAATTTGTCTTCCACTCCATTCCCGTGATTGCAGCTAGATGCATAGATAGTTGCCATTATGCATTAATTTGTATTATTTGATTAGAGTTTTACCTATGTTTCTGTCACTTAACGAATTTAATGAAAAAGAGCGACGGAAAATAAGTAGTTTTTTATTTGAATCTTTGTATGTTTCTTCTTATTGAAAAAAAAAATGCATAAAAATATTTACCAAAAAAAAATGCATAAAAATAAATTTAACACATACTACGTAAACAATAAAAACAAATTCTTATAATTATTTTTATGTTTTTCTCTCTTATAAGATGGGGAAAAAACATGACAAAATAACTAGAAAAGATTCAAATAATTTTTTATATATAATAAACTAGTAATTAAAAAATATTATATGCTTCTGAAAAGGGTGAAAAAAGACTTACAATTTCGACATAGTAGGCATATTTATCATCATATTAAATATAAATGGCCTTTTGTTGGAATCTCTCCACATCTTAATCATAGCAAATACTTATTATTATAAAGAATTAAAAATTGCAAGAAGCTGAAAAACTCCCATGAGCAATGGTGTGCTACGGCACCACAAGATAGGGACGTCTTACCAACCATCCTGATGAGGGTGCATATTAATTAGTGCAATGGACAAAGGATCGAGATATCTAGTCTAGGATTCTTGAATCTATGAACTCTCCTAGCTATTTATAGCGGGAATTCCTTCAACCTAAATAAGTCAACGTGCACTAGTAGGTGTGTACAGTGACAGTTAATAAAGAAAGTAAATGTGTATATCTGTAGTTATTATGGACCTGACAAAAGCTCATATTCTAGAAGGTCCAAATAGGGCTAACAGTTACGAGAAAATTAAGAAAATATTCCTTAATTATACTAATCCTACTACGACAGCAATGGATCAACAATTGGACTCTTAATTGTTGGAAATAATCAAGTATGAGTTGTAAAGAAGTACCACATAGACTAGACATAGACCAAGTGATGACCATATAAGTGTGAAAGACCCATAAACCTACGGCCTTAAGGTTTTGGGTTAAGATGTGGTGTCGGCCCGCTTATTATGGTTTGTCATTTGGCCCATTGGTGGATGTACCCTTTGCAAAGGGTTTTGGGCTCCCTCGTTCCATTCCCAACAGTGGTATCAGAGCCAACGATCTGGGAAAGTGTTTGGAAGGCCTCTGCAGAAGGCTAGTGTGACCCTAATATTTGAAAGAGAAAAAAAAAAAAGGACTTCCGCAGAAGTTGCCCTTAGGGGAAGAATGATATTGGGCCTCACACTTGAGGGAGGATGTTGGAAATAATCAAGTATGAGTTGTAAAGAAGTACCACATAGACTAGACATAGACCAAGTGATGACCATATAAGTGTGAAAGACCCATAAACCTACGGCCTTAAGGTTTTGGGTTAAGATGTGGTGTCGGCCCCATTTGCTACGGTTGGTGTAGCCTTAGCTCATTGGTGGTGGCTCCCCGCCACGGGCTTCCCCTGGACCCGCTTGACATTGGAGTTTGAGGGAACGAATTTCCCAACAGTGGTATCAGAGCCAACGATCTGGGCAAGTGTTTGGAAGGCCTCTGCAGAAGGCTAGTGTGATCCTAATATTTGAAAGAGAAAAAAATTAAGATGCAGAAATATAACTCACAACTCTTGCCAGGTAACTCATCTATAAATAACGGATTAAACCAATAAGGTACACACTCTAAATCATCTTTCTTAACTTGTTGTTGTGCATACCCCATGCCTTGACTATGTCGTTTATAATATTATGCACGGTGATTCGCTGATCTCTAGGGTACCTCCCCTATAGGTACATGGAGAGGACAAACAGATCTTATATTAAAATACCAACCTATGATTGGACATCTCGATATACTAGATCGTAACAGTAGGTTTTGCCTGAGTAGTGAGATTTTGGACTTTTTATGTATTTTGAGGTCCAATTCTTGATCTGCTAAAAATATAATATGGCTAATATCTTTTGAAAATCTTTCCTTATTTCTCTTTGTGTTGTTTGCCTTAATTGAGCCTTCTAGAACATGAATACTAAGGCTGGGCCTATAACACTTTATATTAGAAGTAAGATTTGTGTTTTACCCTTTCAGTGTCATTGTTATTCAAAAGTAACCCCAAAACTCCCATAACTACATAAATGAATATTCTTCCATGAAAAATTTAAATATTAATGTCACATCTAAATTCTATGTTATATCTTTTTCTATAAATATTGATAAATTTCACCTATTTAATATTTGTAAGAAAAAAGATAAATATAACTTATCATGTAAAATTTACACATGAAAAAATCCATTCTAACATTGATGGCTTCTCGTGGAAAATATCATCACCACTTACTGAATAGGAGGTTTTGATCAATACTTTTTAGTTTTGCATTTTAGTCTATAATCATCATCATTTTTCTTTTTTTATTTATTTATGAGTTTTCGAGATACATGAGTTCTTCTATGACTTCTTTTTACTGTTATTGTTAATATATATCAGCATGTGTAGATTACTTGTAATTACTAATAAGTTCATATTCTACTACAGTTAGTTAGTTAGTTAGCTTTCTATTACGCCATATACTTACTGATTCTGTTACGCCATATAATTTTTGATTCATGTATATATATCAGCTATCTGTCTTTACAAT